ATGATGCTTGCCCGCATCCTCACCCTCAACATTGTCCATTGCGGGCACGTATCACACGGGCAAGTGTCTTGCGGGTATCTGTCCGGCGGGCAACTGTTCTGCAGGCAAGTGGCCGTAACCCGAAAAATGATGATCTCTATCAAACTTGTACAAAATTTTTGTATAGAATTCTTTTCAAATTTTAATCATTCTAAAAACTTTTGTACAATCGTCTCTATGATCTATTGATTGAGAAGGGTATTTTTTTTTTCTCTACAAACTGATACTATCACAATATTACATAATTTCTATACTCGCAAAAAAATAGATGTATAGATCAATTTGATACTAAATATCTTCCTATCAGATTTCAATCGTATGCAAAATCTGTTGGAAAAAATGTTCTAATCAGAAAAAAATGAAGTAATTTTAGTAGATGCTGATTTTTTACTGATTAAAATAAATGTCTTCGAATTAACTCAAGAAAAAAAGAATCTTCTTACATCATCAGTAATCATTTTATTTGCATCAAATTTAATAATAGTTAATTGTGTTAATAAACTCATTTGTTTAAATGCAAATCCTGAAAGTTGACGAGCTGATGACCACATAGATATTTGTTTTAAATTATTTAATCTCTTACATAAATTATTCATATGTTTATCTGATAAATTACTCATATCATCCATCACTAAATTCTAAAAGAATATAAAAATTAATAATTTCAAATTTGAATTATTTTATTTACTTCAAGATCACGAAAAGCTTCAGCTATCGCATCAAATCCAATTGATGTTAATTGTGTACATCCACTAACATCTAAATGAGCTAATTTTCGACATCCACGTCCATTTGTTATATGAAGAAAAGCTCGATCAGAAAATTGACGTGAATAAGCAACACTAAGAAATTGTAGAAAATGACAATGACGTGCAAGACTACGAAATGATTGATCTGTCACTTCAGTATGAGCTAAATTTAAATAAAGCAATATATGACAACCAGCTGTTATTATTTTAATTGCTTCATCATTAACTGCTGAACATTCACTTAAATTTAAATCTTGTAAATTTTTACAACTACTAATACCTATGAAATAATTCATAGAAAAAAAAATAATAAATACAAAGATATAGGAAAATATACAGTGGGTCCCAAAACTGTTCAACAAGCTTTATTTTCAATTTTTTCTCCCTATCTTCACCGCTAGGAAGTCTTCAAATAGTGATTCCAGTAGAGAAAATGGTTTCCAATAAGAATATAAGAAAATAGAAATTATAATCAGATTCCCAAGGGCTGGGTCTCCAGAAAACCAAAACCCTAGTTTTTCAGC